TTTCCATTTCGTTCCAGGCGAACACGTCTGTATTCCCTCTTAAGAACCTGATCATCTCCTCCTGTTCGGCTGCGGGCATCGAGGTCCCAACTAGGAAATACTTCTCTTCTTCTCCTTCAACCAAGGGCACCTTCCGGAGGTCTTCAACAGATCGTTCAGCTGGGTCCACCCGGGGGTCATCCATCCCCGGACGCCCGGACTGTAATTGCTATTTTTCTATGATCTCTTCCGGTGCTCGCCCCTTCTCCTGGCTGGACGCCCCGGCTCGGACGGCCGAATAAAAACAGTTTTTCGCAGACGCTTGATCCCCCCGAATCTCCATGACGCCCTCTGGCGTGGCGAACTTCAACTTCTGGTGGAGAGTGGAGTGTACCGCTCCCAACGCGTGTAGCCATGTTCGCCCCATAATCACGTTGTAAGGGGAGTCCGTGTCGATCACCACAAACTCTGTGTCGATGACAAAGGGACCGGTGGCGACCGGTAATGTAATTTTCCCCACGGGCAAGGCGAAAGAGCCGTTGAACCCGATGAGGGGTGTCCTGATTTTGGTTAAGTCTTTGGGGCCAAAGCCCATCCGCTTCAAAGTCTCGAAGTACATCACCTCCGAGGAACTCCCTGAATCTATCAAGATTCTCTTGACATCGAATTTCCCTATCTTTAGAGTTAAGACAAGGGCGTCGTTATGAGGAATCACCACGCCCGTCAAATCCGTGTCAGAGAACGTAATGCCAAGTTCACCCATCCTGGCCCTTTTACTTGATGGCCCCACACCTCCTTCGGCTACCTTTCTGGTAAAAGCTACCCTCTTGAGGTCGGATTCGAGCTCTTTGGACGTGGGGCGCTCCAGTGGACACACATGGATGACGTCTATGACGTTGTTGGGTTCCTCGGTCGGGGCAGGGGCTCGTTTTTCTTCTGGCCTAGGCTCTATGTATTCTTTCAGGTATCCATCTCGGACTAAGCTCTCCAAGAATGACTTGAACACCCTGCAGCTCTCGGTGCGATGCCCGACATCCCGGTGATATGAACACCTTACTGTTTGATCACGGGTGGAGGGGTCGCTTTGCATCCTGGGCGGCCATTTGAAGAACGGCTCGCGTTTGATCTTATGGAGCAACCTGAAGATGGGTTCCTTGAAGACGGTGTGAACTCCTCTGGACGAACCCCCTGGACGGGGTAGCAATCCCTTCCGGGGAATATCTTCGTGCTCTTTTTCCCTTCTCTTGGGTTGGAGGGCTCGGCCTCTGTTGCTCCCCATCTCGTCCTCGACCCTTGAGTACTTGTTGATCCGGGCCATCAGTTCCCCCATATCCGAGGGAGTCTTTTTGGTCAGGGATCGGTACAAGTCCGTGTCCCTCGCCAAGCCGAGTCGGAATGATGCTGCTGCCATGACCTCCGAGCATCCCTCGACCTCATTGACTTCTTCCCAGTATCGGATAGCGTACTGGCGAAGAGTCTCGGATTCCCTCCTCCTGAGGGTCAGCAGTGATCCAATGTCCTTGGGGCGCTTACTCCCCGTGATGAATCGGGTTAGGAACTGCCTCGTCAATTCTTTCCAGGACCCAATACTGTTTGGGGGAAGCGCCTCGAACCACCTCATCGCAGAGTCCCCCAAGCTCATAGGGAACACCCGGCATAGAAACCGTTGGTCCGAATGATAGAGGGACATCATCTGCTTATATTGTCTGATATGGGCATCGGGATCAGATCGCCCATCATAGGTCTTGAACCGTGGCACGACGAACTTTCTTGAGACATCCATCTCACTGATTTCCCTCGTGAAGGGTGTTTGCATGACTTCGTCCTCGGCCTCGTCCTGGATCGTCTTACCCTTTCTTCTGGAGTCCAATCGGGCTCTGAGATCTACTTCTTCCCTTACGGGATGCCTCCTGAAGTCTCTGGGTTCGTCTGTAAGCCCCTCGTTTCCTGGGCGTCGTGTAGATTGGGTTGAGTCCTCCTCGGATTCATCTCCCTTCCTCCGTCTGGATAAACCACGCCGGAGGTCGTCCAGGGCCAATGGCCTTGCTTTCCTGGAATGGTTGTCAAGATGGCATTCGCCGGCTTTGGGTCGCTTCGGGGCCCTGGAGCTTTCTGCTTTGTGATCCAGGTGGTTCCTTAGATCCTTTGTCTCCGCCTCATGGACGGGGAGTCCTCGGGAGAGGAATGAATCCCTCGACCCTCCGCCTGAGGCAGCAAACTCGTCGAGCCGGCTAAGGACGTTTACATTGTCTTTCTCCAGCTGGCGTAATCTATCGCCAAATTTTGCTTCAATCACCTCTGCCAGCTGACGGGCCAAGGGGGCTGATCCTCCTGACCTGATCCCCATACTGGTTTGAGGGGTTACCCCCCTTGACCGAGTAGAGGCACTTTTAATCGTACTGGTCCGATCCCTCCCCCCGTGATGGCAGGGAGCTTGTAACTCATGACTCCTTTGGTAGGGTCCCTTCCCTTTCTGTCTGGTGTTCACCATGGTCACTGTTCTTTATAGAGAAAAGATTAGGAAAACTTCTCGTTTCCCACAGACGGCGCCAGATTGTGCGGGCTTGATCCTGCACGATATATATATAATATTGGGAACAGATCTCTCCCCTGGTGAACTTTGGGTGAGCCGGTTGAGTGGCCAAACACACTGCTCGAAACAGCCTACCAGGAACGGTAAAGGAAGATCCTGGGAAAGGAGGAACGATCCTGTACGTGCAAAGGTATTTCCTGGGACAAAAGAGAACAAGTTAGAAGGGCGCCGGAGTGTTTTTCGGCGTATCCCCTCCGACGATCTAGTCAGTCTTTGAATGAGAGAGAGAGAGAAAGGAGAAAACACTGAGAAGGATATTTCGTAGTGGTGAGTTTGTGATTGCATACCCGCTTTGCCTTTTGGGTGGGGTATTTATACCTTAGAAGCTCATGATTGCTGTCAGTGTGGTCAGTAGGTGATTATCAGGCACAGGTAGCGTGTGTAATCATTTGATGAGGAATGTCATCTCTAATTGACTGTTCGGGGTCCCGAGCAATTAATGCTGAGTTGTCGGGACGCCGACGGTACAATATGCTCCTTTCGGGAAGGATGCAATAAATGCTCTGTAATAGGGGCATTTATTACCTCTCATATCCGAACCTTACCGCATTGAATGCGGTCTCGTCAACAGAAGGGTGCAATTAATTGTTTGCTTTCCCAAGTCGCGTGCCAGCAGCGGCATGCGGTTTGTCTGCTTCGGATGTGACATTATTTGCCACGCGTCCATCCCTTATTGGCTGTTATGTCGGTATTCCAGAACGTTCTGACATTACTTGTGTAAGAAGAGGTCATGATGAATAGTCCAGACTGGCATAGGCTGATGTCCAGTACGTCAGTAGCTTTATCCGGGAATAGAGGAAGCGTTCAGGATGGAGTGACCCTCGGCACCGAGGACAGGATCTCCTCGGGGACCGAGGGTGGTATGTTCCCCCGAGGTACACGGTGACCAAGGGCACGTGTTTGTTGTATAATACACCGAAATGTGTGATCCTATATGAGAGGTACATCGGGGGTAAAGGACGTTCTTTGCCGATGGTGCTTACATCCGGGCAACACTGTTCCCAAAAACCCCGAGGACACGTGTCTTCATCATAGGCTTTTCAGAAGAGTCCCATCACTTATATTTCCAACCAAGGCATCCAAGTCACTCCAGACGAGCGCAACACGGACTTGGGAAAAAAAGTTGGTCAAGCCACTTATAAGGAACCACTGCACTTATGGGACAAGGCTTCAGGAGACCTGACGGACTTCACCACTCATTTTTCTTTCGTAATTGATTCAAGTGGAAGTATTGACTTGGGCGATGGCCTTGCTTTCTTCCTGGCTCCTGTCAATTCCCCCATTGGCCAAGACGGGGGTAACCTCGGTATTGGAAGGGAGAATCTGAACACAGGATCACCTGCGAGTCCATTTGTTGCAGTGGAGTTTGATACTTTCCAGAATAGCTGTGATCTCTCTATAACACATGTAGGTATCAATATCAATTCTATGAGATCTGTTAATAGTACGAGGTGGTCGAATAATATTACACAAGGGCCAGAGAATAATGCTTCGATTAGCTATAATTCTAGTTTAAAAATTCTCAGTGTTGCCTTCACTGGTTTTTCAAATAATAAAACCCAACATGGTAGCCTTAGCTATGCGGTGGATCTGAGGAATTATTTACCAGAATGGGTTACTTTTGGGTTCTCAGCTGCGACAGGACATTTGTTTGAAAAAAACAATGTTAAAACATGGGAGTTTAATTCGAGTTTACCAGTTGATACCGATTTAAGAACGCCAACTCCAACTCCAAGCCCAAATCCAGAACCCATTATAATGGTTGTCAGCGGAGGATAGAAAAACCAAATAGGATTAGTGGTGGGGTTGAGTGTCGGTCTCAGTGTTTTGGTTATGATCGCGGTGGCTTTGGTTGGTATTGGCGTGTGGAAAAAGAGGAAAGCCGAACAAGAAGAGTTTGTTATTGAGTCGTCCATGGATGACCAATTTGAAAAGGATAGCGGACCTAAGAAGTTCTCATATGGAGAATTGGTTCGTGCAACAAACAACTTTGCAGAGGAATTGAAACTTGGAGAGGGAGGGTTTGGTGGTGTTTATAAAGGTTTCTTGAGGGAGTTACACTCCTATGTTGCTGTAAAGAGGATATCGAGAGGGTCCAAACAAGGGATAAAGGAGTATGCATCAGAAGTGAAAATCATAAGTCGGCTGAGGCATAGGAATCTGGTTCAACTAATTGGTTGGTGCCATGAGGAAAGAGAACTTCTACTTGTTTATGAATTCATGCCCAATGGTAGCTTAGATACTCATCTTTTCAAAGAAAAAAGCTTCTTGACTTGGGAGGTAAGGTACAAAATTGCTCAAGGATTGGCCTCCGCATTGCTATATCTACACGAAGAATGGGAACAATGTGTGTTGCATAGAGATATAAAATCAAGTAATGTTATGTTAGATTCGAATTTCATTGCAAAACTCGGGGATTTTGGGTTAGCTAGGATGGTTGATCATGGAAAAGGATCCCAGACGACTGCTCTGGCAGGGACTATGGGCTACATGGATCCTGAATGTATCCTTACAGGTCAATCTAGTAAGAAGTCAGATATATACAGCTTTGGAATTGTATCATTGGAATTAGCATGTGGAAGAAAACCCATAGATCACAATGCAACAGAAGGTCAATAAGAATGGTTGAATGGGTTTGGAATCTTTATGGAATAGGTAAGCTCCTTGAAGCAGTTGACTCGAAACTATCTACAAATTTTGATGAGCAGGAAATAGAACAATTGATGACTGTGGGACTTTGGTGTGCTCACCCAGATCCCAATATCCGGCCTTCAATCAAGCGAGCGATTCATGTCCTGAATTTTGAAGCTCCTTTGCCCGATCTGTTGGGTTTCCCTCCTTTGTGGGACTCATCAATTTGCTAATTTTTTGGTGGCTTACCCGTGTAGGACTCTTATCCAAGACTTGGTTTGGAGTCTTCTAGTTAAAAAGGAATTTGGCAGCCATCAAAGACTATAAGTTTTGTCCTTTTCTTTGGTTCATTTTTTCTCTGTTGGTTTGGCAAGAAGACATATTTTCAGCAGTCTTTGGTTCAACAAAAATTCAGCCTTCTTCTTCTTCTTTTTTGGTGCCAGAAAAATCTGCAAATTTGTTCTTCAAGTGGGTAATATTTCTTCACTTGATATTTGGGTTTCTTGCGGTTTGTTCTTGGAGATTTGGTTCACTTATTTTGTGAGGTATTTTCCTCTTGTGATTTACACCTTGGTGTGTTTGTAAGGTTTATGCCTTTTGGCCACTTTGTAATCTGATTTGGTGATAGTGGAAGAAACTGACCTACCGGTCGTCGTGGATGTACCTCAAGTTGTTTGAAGGAACCACGTAAATCTTGTGTGCTTATTTATTTTCTGTTATTTTATTTATATTGCTTCCATTGATTTACACTTGTGGGAAAGCCTATTTTCCCAACATCTGGTATCAGAGCAATTGGTTAATTCGGTTCCGATTCGTTATATTTCTGTGTGTGAATTATGGACGGCAACGTTGGACGTATGGTTAGTTTCAATGGCACAAATTGGGTGACTTGGAAAACTAAAATGGAAGATCTTTTATTTTGTAAAGATTTGAATGGACCCATAGAGGGTGATAGTGGCAAACCGGAAGGGATGAAAGATGACGAGTGGAAAAAGCTAGACCGAAAAGCTGTCGGTTTTATTCGGCAATGGATTGATGATAGTGTCTTTCATCATGTCTCTACAGAAAAATCTGCACATGGTCTTTGGACCAAATTGGAGAGTTTGTATGATAGAAAGACAGCAGTGAATAAAGCTTTTTTATTTCGAAAGCTTGTGAACTCTAAATATAAGGAGGGTACTTCTATTGCAGAGCATTTGAATGAGATTAAGAGCATTGTGAATCAGTTGGCCGCCATGAAAATTACTTTTGATGATGAGTTGCAAGCTTTGTTACTTCTTAGTTCACTTCCCGAAAGCTGGGAAACTTTGGTGGTCACAGTTAGTAACTCCGCACCTGATGGAGTGGTAACAATGAGTCAAGTTACCAGCAGTTTGTTGAATGAAGAAACAAGAAGAAAATCATCAGGTTCTTCTTACTCCGAGGCACTTGTAATGGAAAACCGGGGGAGAGGCAGAAGTAAGAGTAGGGTTCCGCACAACCGTGATAAATCTAGAGGTCGTTCAAGCTCGATGTCAAAAAAGGATGTTGAATGCTATTATTGTCACAAGAAAGGGCACATGAAGCGGGAATGTAGAAAACTCAAGTTCAAGGAGCAGAACAAAGAGAAAAATTCAGAGAAAAAGCAAATTGATACAGCTGTAGTTACCGATGATGAACTCATGATTATCCGTGATGATGCTAGCGTTAATTTGATTGGCCAAGAGACGGATTGGGTAATTGATTCTGGAGCTTCATTTCATGTTACTTCGCGGGCTGATTTCTTTACTTCTTACTCACAAGGTGATTTTGGGAATGTCCGTATGGGAAATGAAGATGTGTCAAAAATTGTCGGCATGGGTGACATTTGCTTGGAAACAAATATTGGATGCAAATTGCTGCTTAGAGATGTGAGGCATGTACCAGATATTCGACTCAATTTAATCTCTGCTGGAAAGTTAGATGATGAAGGCTACATCAACAATTTCAGTAATGGAAAATGGAAGCTCTCCAAAGGTTCTCTAGTGGTAGCAAAAGGAAAGAAGACTTGTTCTCTTTACACTATGCAAGCAAAAATCTGCAAGGGTGTTGTGAATACCTTAGAGAATGACTTATCCACTGATTTATGGCATAGAAGGCTTGGACATATGAGTGAAAAAGGATTGCAAGTTTTGTCCAAGAAAGAGCTTCTAGTGGGGATAAAAGGTACGCCTTTGAAAACTTGTGTTCATTGTTTCCATGGTAAACAAAACAGAATATCATTCCGTAAAAACATTGCATCTAGAAAATCTCATGTTTTAGATTTGGTACATTCTGATGTATGTGGTCCTTTGAAAGTTAGGACACTTGGTGGTGCTCTATACTTTGTCACTTTTATTGATGATCACTCTAGAAAAGTTTGGGCTTATACACTGAAAACTAAAGATCAAGTTCTAGATGTGTTTAAGATTTTTCAGGCCAAGGTTGAAAGAGAAACAGGTAGACAGTTGAAATGTGTTCGCTCGGATAATGGTGGTGAATATATTGGACCATTTGATCAGTATTGCACAAATCATGGTATCAGGCATGAAAAGACAGTTAAAAAGACACCTCAACAGAACGGGGTTGCAGAGAGAATGAATCGCACCATTCTTGAGAGAGTCAGATGTTTGCTCTCACATTCTAAATTGCCAAGATCCTTTTGGGGTGAGGCAATGAGGACCGCAGTTGATCTTATCAATTTGTCTCCTTCAGTTCCGTTGAATGGTGATGTGCCAGAGAAAGTTTGGACAGGGAAGGAAGTCTCCTATGATCACTTGAGGGTATTCGGCTGCAGAGCTTTTGTTCATATTCCAAAAGATGAAAGGTCCAAGCTTGATCCAAAAGCAAAGCAATGCATATTTCTTGGCTATGGGCATGAAGAATTTGGATACAGGTTGTATGATACAGTTGACAAGAAAGTTGTCAGAAGCCGAGATGTTGTTTTCTTGGAAGATCAGACTATTGAAGACATCGACAAGCTTGAGTCAGCTGAGTCTAGTACTGATGATCTTGTTGATTTAGATCCTCTCAATCCCTCTGTTGTTCATGATATTGATGAGGAAGTGCAAACACCTCATGATGATGCAGCAGAAGATGATGTTGAGCCAGAGATTGAGGGGGAGCAACCACCCCAAGAGCCATTACCACAGACACCGTTAAGGAGATCTACTAGAGAAAAACAGCCATCCAGAAAATATTCTTCAAATGAGTATGTGATGATATCAGATCAGGGGGAGCCAGGGACTTATCAAGAAGTCTTGAAGCATGAGAACAAAACTGAATGGTTCAAGGCAATGAAAGAGGAAATGAAGTCTTTGCATGAGAATCACACCTATGATTTGGTGAAGCCGCCTAAAGGGAAGAAAATTTTGAAAAATAAATGGGTCTTCAGACGAAAGAATGATGGGAACAGTTCTCAACCGAGATTCAAGGCACGACTTGTCGTGAAAGGTTTTGATCAGAGAAAGGGAGTTGATTTTGATGAGATCTTCTCACCAGTTGTGAAGATGTCCTCCATTCGAACTGTGCTTGGTATAGCTGCGAGTATGAATTTAGAAGTTGAGCAGCTTGATGTGAAGACCGCATTTCTGCATGGTGACTTAGAAGAGGAAATTTATATGGAGCAACCTGAGGGCTTCAAAGATAAGGGTAATGATCAGTTAGTTTGCAAATTGAAGAAGAGCTTGTATGGATTGAAGCAAGCACCGAGGCAGTGGTATAGAAAATTCGATGCTTTCATGAGTGAGAATGGGTATTCATGAACCACTTCAGACCATTGTGTGTTTGTGAAGAAATATAAAGATGGTAATTTTATTATTCTCTTACTTTACGTTGATGATATGCTTATTGTGGGCCAAGACACGAGTAAGATTAGCAAGTTGAAGTCAGAGTTGAGTAAGTCCTTTGCCATGAAGGATTTGGGTCCAGCAAAGCAAATTCTTGGGATGAGAATTGTTCGTGACAGATCACATGGGCTGATTTGGTTATCTCAAGAGAATTATATTAAAAAGGTTCTTGAGAGGTTCAATATGGACAAAGCAAAACCTGTTAATTGTCCACTTGCAGGCCACTTCAAACTAAGCTCAAGTCAGTGTCCTACAAGTGATGAAAAGAGAAATGAGATGCAGAAAATTCCCTATGCTTCAGCAGTTGGTTCTTTGATGTACGCCATGGTTTGTACTCGACCGGATATTGCTCACGCAGTTGGGGTTGTCAGTCGATTTTTGTCTAATCCAGGGAAAGAACACTGGGCAGCAGTGAAATGGATTATGAGGTATCTTCAGGGCACTTCAAAGATGAGTTTGTGTTTTGGTAAAGGCGAGTCTATTCTTGATGGGTTCACAGATTCTGATATGGCTGGTGATGTTGATAGTCGAAAATCTACTTCTGGTTATTTGATTACTTTTGCAGGGGGAGCAGTGGCATGGCAATCAAGATTACAGAAATGTGTTGCTCTCTCCACCACAGAAGCTGAGTTCATCGCCATCACTGAAGCTTGCAAAGAATTATTGTGGTTGAAGGAATTCTTACAAGAGTTGGGTTTGAAACAAGAAAGGTATGTCCTTCATTGTGATAGTCAGAGTGCAATCCACTTGAGCAAGAATTCTTCATTTCATTCGAGATCGAAACATATTGATGTTAGATATCATTGGATTCGTGATGTCTTGAATGATAAGTTGTTACAACTTGAAAAAATTCACACTGATGATAACACTTCGGATATGTTAACTAAGGCATTGACTAAGGACAAGCATGAGAAGTGTCGACTTTTGGCGGAAATGGTCGAATCCTCCACATAAGTCGGGAGGGGGAGAATTGTTGGGTTTCCCTCCTTTGTGGGACTCATCAATTTGCTAATTTTTTGGTGGCTTACCCGTGTAGGACTCTTATCCAAGATTTGGTTTGGAGTCTTCTAGTTAAAAAGGAATTTGGCAGCCATCAAAGACTATAAGTTTTGTCCTTTTCTTTGGTTCATTTTTTCTCTGTTGGTTTGGCAAGAAGACATATTTTCAGCAGTCTTTGGTTCAACAAAAATTCAGCCTTCTTCTTCTTCTTTTTTGGTGCCAGAAAAATCTGCAAATTTGTTCTTCAAGTGGGTAATATTTCTTCACTTGATATTTGGGTTTCTTGCGGTTTGTTCTTGGAGATTTGGTTCACTTATTTTGTGAGGTATTTTCCTCTTGTGATTTACACCTTGGTGTGTTTGTAAGGCTTATGCCTTTTGGCCACTTTG